ATCCGTAAGTCTTCTACATCCAGAAGACTTACGGGTAAGTCTTCTACGCGAAGAGATCTGGAAAAAAATTCAATTTCAAACCTTAAACTAGGTGAGATGACTTCCTTTGCACACAGAGTCTTCTCCAACCACCCAGAACATCGAACGAAAGTAACCCACCAACAATTGTATGCTTAAATGGCTCTATCAACCATAAAAATTTTGCTATCAAAGCTTGGGTTTTTGGTATGAATATGGAGACAAAGTGAAGGAGATGTTGTTTTTAGTTCATAACAATTAAGAAAGAGAGTATGGGTATCGATTTTAAGTGCATTAAAAGCTTCAAACCTTGGTAGTACAAGGTTGTTGGGTTGTACAAGGTTGTTGGGAGTATTCATGGCAATGGTAATGTTGTAAATACTTTGAGATGATGAGGTTGAGAGAGTAAAAAGGCCATTTTCGAAAAAAAAAGTAAAAAAAAAAATCAATGGCATTTTCGTAAATAAAATGAAGATGTGGAGTGGATAGGACAAAAACAAGATGAGTTAAAAGAAGAAGTTAGTTTTGTGTTTGACTATGAGTTTTGAGTCGATTTTGCAAAAAGCCCTAAAATAAAATATTAAATTAATTTATGAGAGTCAAAGGTAACTCAAAAACATTTTTTTATGAGAGTCAAAGATAACTCCAAGTATATAAGGAATAATTTAAATATTGCAAAATTCTGGAGTAACAAATGAGATTTGTTACTCCAAGTATCTCATTTTCTGTTTCAATATGCAGCAAATATAGTATAAATCGATTTTCGTTTATTATATCATAGTATATTGATCTGTTTTATACAACACTATGTATTTTTCATATAAATAAATCAGTCAATAAATCGTCAAGAAAAAGCAAATATTATTTAAAATGAAAATTATTGGGTGAAAACAAAACACGATTTTGATTCAGCCATGATTAACGCTCGAGAATCATCATTATGCGATTGTCAAAACATAACTAAAAATATTATTTCTAAACAAACATAATCCTAAAACGGATCGATGGAGAATTATCATTACCTCTGCGATTTTGATTCATCCAGGATTAACGCTCGAGAATCATCATTACCTCTCCTCGTTACAAAGTTTGAGGAGTGGAATATACGAATGTGCTGAGAAAGATTATTGCTAATAATCTAGCGTACAGATATATACAAAGGTTTAAAGACAACAATCGCATGTTGATTACCAAACTCATTTCAGTTGTCAGAACCAGTTTACAAAGAAAATTTCCGTACACTTCTTGAAACAGAACTACATGTGAAGAACAAAACATAGTATAAATGTTGGTTTTCAGGTAAAGGAACTGAATCAAAGCTTGAGGAGACCATATTCTTGTTGAAGCCGGAAAATCGGATAGTCATAAACGATATAAGAAAGACGAAGTTAAGGAAATAAACGATTTTATACGACGAACATATACATAGAGGTGAGATAAATCTCTTTCCTTAACTCTTAATATTCGCTCTGTAGTGAGACGAAACTATACGAATATTGAGTCCCAGGAAACAATCATGGCTGACGAATCACGCTTCACTCGTGAAACGCCCTAGCAAACTAGAAATCCTATGAAACACTCTCTGAAACTTACCTTGGGAGTTTTGATTATTTTTTTCTATGTGAAACGTTAAAAAATAACTGAGGAGGAGAAACGATTTTTAAAGAGAAGGAGAAGACCCACTTCCCACAACAATTGCTGCACATGGCAAGAATCTCGCGGAGATTGAGAGAAGTGAGTTACGAAACTTCTTCTTCAAGACGCTCTTTTCTCATTTAAAATTTTTTAGGCGGACAGACAAAATGCGTGTCGTATTGAGATGAACTTCATATCGTTTAGAAACAAATTGCATACTGTTTTTTGTAATTTAAATAGCAAAACGTTGAGCTTAACTTGGTCCAAAAAAATATTTGTTATAAGCCCAAGCCAAAATCCACGCCATGCCAGCCAGACGGCAGCGACGCATGAAAACCCTCTCTTCCTCTAAGCTGTTTAACCCAGGAAGAGTGTCATAACATATATATACATCACGATTTCTTAGCTTTTAACCTATGTGGGACGTGTGTATTCCCATTCATTAACATTGGCTCACATGGGCGTTTCATTTACGTAGCCCATCTCATTTCTGTTTAATACTTAACCAATTATATTGGTCCAACAATTCTCAACTTTGTTGCTGAGATAAAACGCTTCAAAATGTTGCAGGTTGCTGCTAACTATGTAGCAATGGTTCCATCGGGGCAGATTTTTGACAGGTGAGATCTTGCCGAATTCATACAGAAACAGAACACGTTGATCTTCTTTGCTGAATGAATCTACTACTATCATCAAAATTGTCACGTTCACTCAATTTGCAGTTCTCTAGAGAAAGGTCTACCCTATCTGTTCGGAGTTGGGTCTGTCCAGGTGATCAAGGAACTAGATGAAGGAATCTTGAGTATGAAAGCTGGTGGCAAACGCAGACTCTACATTCCAGGGCCTGTAGGTTCCTTTTTCATCAAGATTATAGTCATCATCACTATCTACTTTATTGGTAATCTAGCTTCTAATTTCTGACTATTTTTGATTCTGTTAACGTACACCATCAGTTGGCGTTTCCAAAGGGTCTAGTCTCCGCGTCGGGGAGGCCAAGAGTAGCACCGAACAGTCCAGTGGTATTTGATGTGAGATTCGAGTACATACCAGGGCTCGAGTCGGATGAAGAATGAAACTCTTTTTTTTTTTAAAGTTCAGTCTAATAAGAAATACATACAGTACATGATTTTATGTGATGGCGTCTCATTCTACTTTCATTGTGTAAAAAACGCCTCAGCTATTCAGTTCATGCACCATTTCATCCCCAACTTTCTTTGTATTTGTTGAAATGTGAGTATTTAGAGACTGGTTTGTTTGGGAAGAAGGAAGAACAACAAGAACAGAGGAGAGAAGGTAGTATTTTCGTGAGAGAGAGAAGAGAGGAGAGAGAGAGTTACACAAGAGAATTTAATTCTGAGGAAAACTGTTTCCTTGACTTTTTTAGGTTGCTTACAACATGTATTTAAAGTCAAATCAGGCTTACAAGGACAGGAGATTTAATATATAAAACTCAACCCACTTGCACCTGCTTTGTCCAGAACCCCCAACGGTCTTCTCCTCTTTAAACCAATTGTAACCTTCTCAAACCAATTGTAACCTTCACCATTCGAATAATTATTCTCCTCTAGTCCTTTTTATTGCTTCATGTTCACACTCCCCCTCAACCTTGACAATAGATACTATGTTAAGCTTGGAGTACCATGAAGCATTCCCTCATTAAAACCTTACTCAGCAAAACCCATTGGGATAAAAGCTAAGCAAGGAAAGAGTAGAACACTTCATGGAGAGGGGATTAGTGACATGAAAGGTCTATGAGTCCAAGCTTAGGATGAATGAACTCACAGACCTTGCTGCTTGCTGCCTT